CTTCTATTCCAATCACTGGCTTATGAGAAACCCATTGTTTTTTTCTTTCTGTGATACTAGTGATTGAGATATGGTAAAATCCAATGAGAACTATAACTATCTGTATAGTCTGGATAAATATAGATGATAAGTATACCGATATTTATCTTATTTATTTCTCACCAAACATCAATGGATAACACATCACTACTTTTCATTGGACATTTAGTAAGTTGATGATGTAGTACGTGTCAAACCACATGTAGTGTTTTTGTTCTATTTTACTTCTCTTTCCTATCTCCAATCACTCTTTTTATGAATTTCTCCTTGGGTGAAATGACAGTGCCGGAGTGCAAATCCGATGACCAGTAGGAACTGTCATTCACCAGTCACCTGGAATTCGGTGGAAAAATAAACAAGGCATGATCGGCTTTCTCTAATACTATATGAAAGTTTAGAATATAGGATTAGAGATAGAAAATGAAGGAAAAATAGAACACAAGCACATACATTGTCCTCTATATAGTTCATACATACACAGACTAAATGCCCAAATAGCTACATATATATGTTATTCCTTGATGGTTTGGTTACATCAAACTTATTCCTGTCTACAGAATGAGAAAATACATTGGATAAAGCTAAATCACTCATGCTTATCATCATTATTAACTCTTATCCCGATTATTTAGAAATTGATGGATCTCTTTGAATTCTATCATAAAGCTAATAGCCCAGTACTCTCCTTCAAGTTGATACACTCAAAAGATGTGTTGAAGTATCAAATTTGTGTCAAAACGTAGAGTAGTGATTAATATCACTCATAACCAAACTTTATTAATAATGATAAATCTCTTTGGATCTTATTATATCAGTAATAGAACCACATGTATGGAGGCAAAAACCCTTCATGCGTTGAAGGTGATGTGTAATAATTTTGGTCGTAGAACGTGTCTGTCACAAATGGAACACTCCAGAAACTTTCAGCGGTGTCGTAGAACGAATCCAGTGAAGTTATGACAATGCTATCTTCTGCAACCCAGTTGGTGCTTTTGAAAGTAGATGTAATAGAGCTTGAGGAGGATTGATCACTGGAAGATGCTTTGGGGGATGTTGGGGTGCTTTCCAAAGCTTGGTCTGACGCAGTATCAAAAACAACATATTCGGGTTCTGATTCTCTCTCCTTGTTGCCTTTATTTTGGGAAGTTTCATGAAATTTCTCTTTCTGTTTTGATTCAGGTTGGAAAGGTACATTTGATTGGGCAAGCACCTCTGACGTTGAATTTGGTTTCCCAAGTTTCTTAATATGGGTGTGCCAGTAATTTTTTATGTCATTGTCTGTTCTTCCTGGTAAATGTGCAGCAATGGCTGACCATCTGCAATTGAGAGAAATACATAATATAGGTCAATTATGAATTCCAATGCTAAAAGCCATGATAAAAGATGGTGTATAAGAGCTTGTGTTGATCAACATATATAGTTCTAAATTATGGTTGAAGTTAGAAGATTGTAGTGCACACTTGTTTCCAAGTTTGTCTTGTAATTTCATGATCGTGTCCTCTTCTTCTTTGCTGTAGTTCCTGAGTTTCACATCAGTGCGCAAGTAGTTCTTCCACCGCAATCTGCAACTCTTTCCACATCTAGAAAGACCTAAAAAAATATAATGCCAAATTAGGTCTAATATACTAGTTATACATGTAGAGTACTAGTCATACCATCCTACTTCATTTTTCTTATTTTTCCGTATGCTCCAGTTTTTGCAAAATATAAGTTAGAAAACTGAAAATAGTTTACGTTACAAGTCCATTGAATTTATTGAAAACCAAAAACTAAGACCCCAATTTTGTAGAGTCATTTCTTATCAATGACCCTAATGTTCTTTTCTGTGCATGGAAACTCTGGCAGTGGTAGTCGTTTTTTGGGTTTTGATTCACTAGAGAGAAGTTGGGGAGATAGTCAACCTCCAACTCTACTAAAAGAGTGATTCCCTAGGACCAAGATCGAGGGAAGGGGAAATATTGAATCTTGAAAGACTGAGCTCAACTAGCTAATTTAAATGAGATGTTAGTTTTTAAATTTTTGAAGACAATTCACTGTTCACGGTGAAATCTGTAACAATAACCAGTTGTTCATTGGATGTTTTGGGCAAATCGTGGCTTATAAATTTGCATAGACTTTCAATACAATTTTATTTACCCTAAAAAAAAGTATGAATTTCTTGGAGGATTTGAGAAGACATCATTCCAATCAACAACCATGCTTAACATTCATTTGTCATTTGCATAGTGCATTAATTCCCACCAAAGTACAACTTAGAGAAAGAATGAGGAAGAAGAAGAATGATAAGACTATGATGACAACAAAGAAAGACGGAAAAATAATTCGTACCTGCGTACTTGGGGAGTTGACGCCAGTTCCAATGACCATATCTTTCAATATAGGCTCTCAACTTATTATCTTCTTCCTCGCTCCATAAACCTCTCTTCAATCCATTCTTGTCAAAGAAAGGAGTCCTCACCATTTTCTAAGAAACTTCCTTTCTGCTCCTCCCTTACAAGAATGCTTGAAGAAAAAGTTTGCAGAGCTCACTCTTATTTATATACAATATGCCTTGACAAATTAAAACGCGGGCCCACGTGAGAAGGTGTCAAGAAAATGACTTGAAATTGTTTCACTAAAGAAGAAGAACGAACAAGGAGAGTTCCTTCAAGTATTACACGAAATCAAGAAAAGAGGGCTGAACAATTAAATATTGTAGAAACTTTAAGTAAAGCGTATGATGTCAATTTCTTCTTAAATGTGTTCATATACATGGAGGAGATATACAATTTGAGACTTAAAGCAATATTCGCCATTATATACTAATCAAATATGAATGGAACAAATTCTACACTATAAACCTTAAATAGACACAAAATCAATCTAACAAGACCAATTATCAACCCTACCCTTAATCCACCCAAGTCATGACACCATGGCACATAGAGTGCTTTGTGTAGAAACAATGACCATCATCTCCTCCTCAACCATTATAACCGCTTAGCCATTAATCTTTAACATTCTAGGATTCCATACACGGGCGATGCTAAAAAATGGGTTAAAGGTGGACACTTTATCTAGGATCGGCTCTAGCATACAGAGATTAATGACTTTAGGTTTTCACAAAGATGACCCAATATTTTATATATGTTAATAAAATAGTATAGTTCACAAATCTAAACTCCATTAAAATCTAAACCGCCCACAAAAAATCTTATAAAAACTTAGTGTCAAAAATATTTTTAATACAAACAAAAACGACTATTATCAAACAATATTATTATTTACCAAATGATCATATTGAATTCAATCTCTAATTACACTCCATTCGTATGTATATAGAGAAATATAAGATAAAAGTAAGGTGATACATCATATCTCATAAAATAAAAACTCATTAAGTCAAAAAGGTCAAAGTTGATACATATATCTTATATGAAAAAAAACTATAAAAAGAATTCAATTACAAATCTGATAAAAACTGACAGGTTTATTACATCTCTTTATATTTGACGTTTACGTCTTTTTATATTTTTATATAAAATTTAAACAGCTATCAAATAAAAGCTTATGCAATAAGGGTAATAATACCATTAGAATTCAATTGAAATAAGTCAATCAGAAATCTTAGACAAAAAGAGATCAGTTGTAGGTCTATCGCAAATAATTTACCTCCAAAATATGAATTTAGAACCAAAAAAACTCACAAATATACAAATTAAAGTCAATTTAAAGGTAAAAAAGATAAATAATATTAAAATAAATAATTATATATATATAATTAAAAAAAATTGAGGGTAGGCTAGTGCCCTGACTAGCACATAGAGGAGATATGGGGTTCGCTTGAGACAAATTTAAACCTAAAGCAATATCTCAATGATAATTTTTCATTTGTTAATTTTTTACACAATTTTTTATAAATTTAAAAAACCTTTGCAAGAAGAAACTATTATGTTAAAAATATTTTGAAAGCAATAGATATATTCGGAAAGGAATTTGGTCGTTTTATATAACTCAACACCCCAATTGGAGTGTTTTATTTTCCTCATAGACAATGATTTTAAAACTGTTAGTCCAAAAAACTAATTGGAACTATTATGTTTCAATGCAATATGGTTTAAACTATCATCATGTGCGAATTGTAATTTTTGATGCCCAATAAAAAGATAAAAAAAATTTTGTATGTTTGAAATTGTTCATACCTACTCTAAATTGTGCAGTAAACGACAGCATAAAAAAAAATTAGTGTTGTGACTTCTTCGTGCACCAAGTCACTTTTTTTTTTTTTTTTTTGTAATATTATTTTTCTTCAATTTTTATTCTCAATGATTGCGAGTGATATAAAATTGTAGAAATTTTTATCTTTTTTATTTTGTAAACCATTCAACTTTAAATAGATTAGTAATATATTATCTATCTAAAAAGAAATATTAACAAAACGTTGGAACAAAGATGTAATTACTACTTTCACATCTCAATAGATTTAAAAAATATTTCTTAATAAACAGTATTTAATATTTAAATCATTATATAATATTATCTTTTTTATTATGTTAAAAATTGATAGGGTGTCGCCCAAAATTTCGCCTCTCGCCGCCCCTGCTTTGTCTTAATGTATTTAAAAGATTCAAATGTTCTGCAATTTTATAGGTCTAACATGGCGAATTTTGCAGTGGCCAAACTTGAATAAGGTATTAGCAATGACGTTGCCATTATTAATTAATTTGAAAGGTGAGGCATCTGCCTTTGTTGCACATTGGTAGGGGACATGGCTGTCTCACAATTAGGGTTGACAATTTTTAACACGGATTGTACGACTATGTAGAAGTAATTGATACAAAGTAAATGAACGTGGATTTAATGTGAATGAGATTTCAATCATTATCAAGTTGAGTAGATAGACCCGTTTAATATATAGATTGATAGAAAGACAGTTATATGTTGCACGAATTCAATTATACATAATTTATATTTAATCCAAAGTTGACACAACATAAATCAAATTGTATACTATTCAGATATGAAGTGAACAAATTTTGACATTATAATACTTAAAAATAATACAAAACCAATATAAGACATCGTATTATCAGCCCTCAACCCACTGAAAGGATAACCCCCCATGGTAACATATAATGCTTGTGGAGAGAAAATGATCATCATTTCTTTTGTTTTCTACAATTATCCCTGTCCAATGCACGATGTTCATTTCTTTTGTTTTCCTCTCATTTCTCCTGACTCACCTCTCAACCCTCTCTCACTCTTACTAATGTTGGTTTTTTATTAGTAAACAAAGATTTTCTCTGATCAAACTTCGTTCTTATCACCACTCTCACTCTCTCACCAAATTACTATCATTTATAATTTGCCAAAAAAAAAATTAGATTAATAACCCATAACTTGCGGTAATTTTTTAAACGAAGCTAGTACATTAGGAATTTTTTTTTCTTCCAAATATCGTCATGGTTGATTAGCTTGGGCTGAATATTCAATCATGGTGGACGTGGGAAAGATTGAAAAGTCAGTTTTTGTGAATTTTTTCCCAAAAATAAGGTATCAAAAAGACTTGGGGCTCAAATTCTCCAGGCGGCTGTGAATTTAATAAGACTATATGAAGTTCTGAACAAGAAACCTTCCCTGGTTAGCCAAAAAAAAAAAAAAATGAATGTGATCTGAGCTTGGTCTATTCAAATTGAAGGACTGTTTTGCTGAATCTGAAGATTTTATAGAGCAGCACCTCGATTAATCTTCTTTTCGGTCTAGTTAAAGGAAAGTTATTCATGCCGGATTAGGGTATTCATGAATTTAAAATCTCTCATGGTCTCATCCCAAAGAGTTGTTAAAATTTGAATTTAAAATGTCTGAGTTTACAGTTCGTTTCCATTACCACCGGAGTAATTGAGTTTAATCACCAAAGGGACCTACACATCCAACATGACGGATTCAAATTCTTGTTAGTGACTCTTGTGTATAAATTGTACTTGTCATTAACGATTGGTTATAGAATTAATTTTGATAATATATCTCCGCGATATTTTTTTAAATTTATTATTATATTTCGTATATAATTTTTTAATTTATAATTTTTATAGTTATAAATTGCTCAAATCCAAATCTCATTTAGTGCGGTAGTCTTATCCCAATAGTTGTGGGACAAATAGACAAAGTTCACGAAAGAGCCATTGATTAATAGTGGAAAGAAAACAATGGCCGTTGGATGTCTAGGTAATTACGATATGTAATTAATTCAAAGTACAATGATGTCACTTTTCTTCTGGGCTGTTGACGTGCATGATGCTAACATAAGCAGAAGTGAACGTTACGTACTTTACATTAATTTCCAACTTCCTATTTTTTTTTTTGAATTATTTTAATGTTTTGAATGCACCTTTCTTTTTGGCAGTTACATATTGACATGTCTAAAATTTTATTACTTAATTATTTAATTTTATTTATTATTTTTATAATTAATAACTATAAATAACTCAAAATAAGATTTATGATTGCGTATAAATTTTTGGTATAGTATCTCCCAATAGCATTGACTTGTCTTTAATTGGGCGTTTAGTTCACTAAATAAAATTGAATCGAATAAATAAGTTTATCAAGTTGGATAGGTAAACAGAGGATAAGAAGGATGGGGTTAGAGGGAATGAGATTAGGTTAATTTTAAACTTGATGTTTGGTCCACACAAAATAAAATGTAGGGGTAGTTTTTTTTTTTACTAAAATATTGGAGTAGTTTTCTTTTGACTAAAATACCATTTTTCCTCAAATATACATAACATAAACATAATCCTTTGACAGAGATAGGCTCATATATGCTAAATTTTAGAATTTTTCATACAATCTTAGGATACTGCAGTTATGGGATCTCCCTCACAACTACTTACCAAGATTTCTGTTTTTTGTATACTGTAAACTTTTGTAAATTTAGGACTTGGATCATTTAGGAAGTACTGATTATTCTCTATACTTTCCCACAAAATTTTATTCCTAGTTCTATTTGCTTTCTTTGATGGACACATTTGGATTGTCCTTTTGGTTTGTTCTTGTAAAGCTTTTTTTCAATATAGTTTTACCATTCACAACTTGATTGATAGTGGACCTAGGTTTAACTTATCAAAATAATACAAAACTAATATTCGCATCTTCACATCTGATATGTGGGCATCTTTATAGTCCAATCCCATTGAAAAATCCGCAAATTACACCGTCCAAAAATCTCTGCATAACAACCCTGTTTCAGTTTCAACTTAAATCTTTAATTTAAAAAATTTCAAAATATAGGGAGATAAAGTATACTACATAGGATTTTCTTTTCTTTTTTGGTCAATTATAAGACTCTCGTTGGAACACAACAATTTGTAATAAACGGGTTCAAACTTGCTTGTGAGTTGTGAATATAAAGTTTGATTTCTTCTAGGCTTTCTTTTCCACACCACGTGTGTCTAGAGGTCAAAATAAATTATTTAATTTTAT